TTTAACAAGTGGTGCTGGGAAAACTGGTCAACCACCTGTAAAAGAATGAAACTAGAACACTTTCTAACACCATACACAAAAATAAACTCAAAATGGATTAAAGATCTAAATGTAAGACCAGAAACTATAAAACTCCTAGAGGAGAACATAGGCAAAACACTCTCCGACATAAATCACAGCAGGATCCTCTATGACCCACATCCCAGAATTTTAGAAATAAAAGCAAAAATAAACAAATGGGACCTAATGAAACTTAAAAGCTTTTGCACAACAAAGGAAACTATAAGCAAGGTGAAAAGACAGCCCTCAGATTGGGAGAAAATAATAGCAAACGAAGCAACAGACAAAGGATTAATCTCAAAAATATACAAGCAACTCCTCCAGCTCAACTCCAGAAAAATAAATGACCCAATCAAAAAATGGGCCAAAGAACTAAACAGACATTTCTCCAAGGAAGACATACAGATGGCTAACAAACACATGAAAAGATGCTCAACATCACTCATTATCAGAGAAATGCAAATCAAAACCACAATGAGGTACCATTACACGCCAGTCAGGATGGCTGCTATCCAAAAGTCTACAAGCAATAAATGCTGGAGAGGGTGTGGAGAAAAGGGAACCCTCTTACACTGTTGGTGGGAATGCAAACTAGTACAGCCACTATGGAAAACAGTGTGGAGATTTCTTAAAAAGCTGGAAATAGAACTGCCATATGACCCAGCAATCCCACTTCTGGGCATACACACCAAGGAAACCAGATCTGAAAGAGACACGTGCACCCCAATGTTCATCGCAGCACTGTTTATAATAGCCAGGACATGGAAGCAACCTAGATGCCCATCAGCAGACGAATGGATGAGGAAGCTGTGGTACATATACACCATGGAATATTACTCAGCCATTAAAAAGAATTCATTTGAATCAGTTCTAATGAGATGGATGAAACTGGAGCCCATTATACAGAGCGAAGTAAGCCAGAAAGATAAAGACCATTACAGTATACTAACACATATATATGGAATTTAGAAAGATGGTAACGATAACCCTATATGCAAAACAGAAAAAGAGACACAGATGTACAGAACAGACTTTTGGACTCTGTGGGAGAAGGCGAGGGAGGGATGTTTCAAGAGAACAGCATTGAAACATGTATATTATCTATGGTGAAACAGATCACCAGCCCAGGTTGGATGCCTGAGAAAAGTGCTCGGGCCTGGTGCACTGGGAAGACCCAGGGAGGGTAGGTAGGTAGAGAGGGAGGTGGGAGGGGGGATCGGGATGAGGAATACATGTAAATCCATGGCTGATTCATGTCAATGTATGACAAAACCCACTACAATAATTGTAAAGTAACTAGCCTCCAACTAATAAAAATAAATGGAAAAAAAAATAAAGAAAAAAAAATAAAGTGATGCTTAGAAGAAAATTTAGAACCTTGATGCTTCGTTGATGCCCACATTAGAATAAAAATAGAAACAGAAGAAAATGATCCAAGACCCAAGAATCTATAAAAGCAACAACAATCATAACTGAAAAGCGAAAGTCATTCAGTCATGTCTGACTCTTTGTGACCCCATGGTCTATACAATCCATGGAATTCTCCAGGCCAGAATACTGGAGTGGGTAGCCTTCCCTTCTCCAGGGGATCTTCCCAACCCAAGGATCGAACCCAGGTGCCCTGCATTGCAGGCAGATTCTTTACCAGCTGAGCCACAAGGGGAGCCCAGGAATAGTGGAGTGGGTAGCCTATCCATTCTCCAGGGAGATCTTCCCAATTCAGGAATCAAACAGGGGTCTCCTGCATTGCAGGAGCTAGCTCTAGCAACTGAGCTATCAGGGAAGATCATAACTGAAAAAGAGGAGTGAAAACTGAGTACAGAAATTAATTAAGTAGAAAGCAAATACAAATCAAAAAAATCAATAGGGTCCATTAGTGATTCTCTTAAAAAGAACATTAACACTGATAATCTTCCAGCAAAACTAATTAAGAAAAAAGAGGGAACACAAATTAACAACACCAGTAACAAAAAGAGGAATATCATTATAGATCTTCCCAACACCTAAAGATAAGAGATGTGAACCAGCATTGTTCCAATTTGAAAATTTTTTGTAAAGTGGGCCTAGTCCTTGAAAACACATTACTTGTGAAACACAACTCACTGAAATCTGATACAAAAAAAGAGAGAAAAATATGAGTAAACTTATATTTGTTAAATAAACAGAATCTATCTGTATTATAAAAACTTTCCTCTAAAAAACTGCAACCTCCTAGCACTTCCACAGAGCTCAGAAATGACTCCCACAACAGGATAAAGGAAGAGAGGGAGGGAAGGGATGAGGGCAGGAAGGAAGTGTAACACAGAGGCTCTGGTGAATGTAGGAGTTGACCTGCATCTTTCCAACCCTCCCCTCCTGCAATCCTTGCATCTTCATCCCCTCAGCAGTTTGCACTTCAGTACTGTAGTTCCTGGTGGCTCAGAAGATAATCAAGACTCTGCCTGCAATGCAGGAGACCCAGGTTTGATCCCTGGGTGAGAAAGATCCCCTGGAGAAGGAAATGGCAACCCACTCCAGTATTCTTGCCTGGAGAATCCCATGGACAGAGGAGCTTAGTGGGCTACAGTCCATGGTGTCACAAAGAATAGGACAGGACTGAAGCAGCTTAGCACACTTGCACCACAGTCCTGCTCAATTTGTTTAGCCCCTCATTGAAGTCCCCTCGTTATTTCAAACAAGCTTCTCGACATTCTTCTCTGGTCATTGTTTCCACTCTAGATTTCTCCTAAACACAGTACTTCACTTCCAACAATCCACCACTGAGGCTGAAATTTCTCTCCCATACCTGACTCCTAAGATTAACCAGAAGAAACTCCAAGAGTTCAATTTCGATGAAGAAAATGAAAAAACAAGCTATTCTAATCGTATCTCTACTACATCACCACCACTTTAACTTATCTTTGCATCGTTAAAACATGTCTGAAAATACAGAAAAAACAGACCAAGGGGAGGAAACTAATGACAAAAAGAGAAATAGAAGGAACCTGGAACCATTCATAAAAATGTGAGAGCCTAAGTTAGAGAATGGTGGTCAGGGAATACAAACCACAATCGGGGTTTAAATATCAGAACACTCTCCAATTCTTTACTTTTAAGTGTAACTTAACTGGAATTAATATCAAGACATCAGTCTTCTTAAGATGATAACATTGGGAATTCTAATTTCACAGAAAGTTCAAACCTCACACACTCCATTTTCATTCAGATAGTGATTTATCAAAATATGGTAGACACACCTGTAGTGTTTTCACAAATTTATCTGCAGTTAGAACCATGATTAGGACATTGTGACAATGAGGAAGGTTACTTGAGATGCCAGAAAACAGGTTTGCTTAAACANAGATAGTGATTTATCAAAATATGGTAGACACACCTGTAGTGTTTTCACAAATTTATCTGCAGTTAGAACCATGATTAGGACATTGTGACAATGAGGAAGGTTACTTGAGATGCCAGAAAACAGGTTTGCTTAAACAAAAATTTCTAACTAAAATTTAAAAGCTCCTTGAAAATAATTACTTTTAATAAGAATAATAGAGAGAATGGAAGGAAATGTTTTGAAGAGATGAATAGATTTATGACATAAGTGCTGTAATGGTTTCACAAATGCATACTTATCAAGCAGTTTTGTATGTCAGTCATACCTCAATAAAGTACCTTTCAAAAAGGGAAAGAATTGTTTTCTTAAGGGCTTCAACTAGAATCATCAAAGGTCTGCTGAAGGTGAGATTAGAAAAGATCACTTTTCCAATGATCTTCCTCAATATAAACACCCAAGACCTGACTGGCTGTGGCTGCTAAGGAACTACTGCAGGTGTCCTCAGGGCTCCCTTGTCCCACAATCACATCAGGTGGGGTGATTCTTGCCTAAGACCAGCTCCCTATTTGAGGGAATTTACTGTGATAACTGACAATATCTTCCTCCAGTCCAGCTGCTCTGATGGGATTAATATCCTGGACATCCAATCCATAATTAGGATAACAACTAGAAGCATCTCTGTCAAATACTGTGACCACCCACTCACACCGTAGGTTCACTGTTGTATTTACTGCATCCACCTTGGCACAGGTCAAATACATAGACATTACTGAGCACTTCATAGGAGTCACTTCAGGTCGTCTTAGCGTCACTGCCTCTTACACGTGATGCACTTCAGCTACTGTGTTGTAAACTTCAAGACTTCACTTTCCTGGTCCCTCAACATCCCTGCAAATGTGATGTGAGCTCCCCACTCAGTTGATCAGGTGCACCAGTGTGATGAGACTGTTTTCTGCCACAAGTTCCACTTCTGGCTTCCTCTGACTGTGACCTAGGGACATTTAAATGCACCAGTGAAATGCCNGCTCCCCACTCAGTTGATCAGGTGCACCAGTGTGATGAGACTGTTTTCTGCCACAAGTTCCACTTCTGGCTTCCTCTGACTGTGACCTAGGGACATTTAAATGCACTAGTGAAATCCCCTCACACCTTTTCCTTGTGTAACTGCACCCTGACCCCCGGTATAGTCACATGACCATAAGTCTCAACATGCCCTTTTGGGTCACCATTTCTTGGTTGAGCCTATTCTATTGGCACATCCCCCACATACCGACCTGATGGAGTGTGGTGACTCTGAGTTTTAGGACCTATGAGTATGATAAACCTTGTTGCCTACAACTCTTCTGTGACCCCCACCACCACCATGTAGCCACACCCTACTGACCATTATGTCAAAGAATACAGAACAATTACCATGATAAGACTATGTCACAGAGGTCAAACACAACAGGTGTATCTGTATGAAAGTTTTGACCTGACTTCTCTACCTTCTGTGACACATCACACAGACCCTTCACCCAAGCATGTTCTAAAGGCTATAATCCATAATCTCGAGTCATTCTGGTGATAAAACAGAGGCTTTTCCTGCTAGAGATCCCCACACAGACCAGACAGGACTTACCTGAGCAGACCACTCCAGCATCCAGGTCATGGGAAAAGCTATTATTACGATAGTCTTTAATATCAGAATGCCTACAGTCACTGACAGTTGACTCTGTCCCTTCACATGAAGTATACAAAAGCCAAATGGGGCCAAGTCCTGGCCCAAAATAAGCCCTTCCAGGAAAACCAATGGCAGCTCCACACCCCAGCTGTCTGCACACTACAGATGCATCCTTCAAGCTCCAGTAGTCATCATCCACTGTGCCCCATTCTCCGTGGTGCTTCACTTCCACTCTCCCCTCACAGCGGTGGGCTCCATCCTTCAGCCTCAGCTCCAGATCTGCAAAAGAGAACAGACACAGGATACAGGAGAGACATTAGGAGACTTGCAGTGATATAATATTTAAAATATAAGCTCTCTGAGGAGTAAAAAAGCACATATGATATAGTATTTGTTGACCTCTATGGTATAAACATCCCCACAAGGCCAACTTGAAGCCGCCAATGTGCCATCACTGAACTTGGAGCAGGAAGGGAGGCACCAGATGTTTCTCACAAGCCTGTAGAACCAGCTCCAGGCACACCACCGAGGACAGGTCTACAGAGACTCTGGATGCTGCCCTCCCTGTAGATGTGCACAAGGCTACCAGAGCCCAGCTTCCCCATCTCAGTTACAGCTCTTGGTCCGAGATCCAGGGAGGAATCCTCCCTCTCCTTCCCTGTCCACAGGGAGCATCTCATCCAGCTCAGGAACAGAGGGCTGGGATAACAGGCTCTACAGTGTCCTGGTTATTCCTGCCACCTGTGTTCATGTCCTTGTGTAATCCACACTCGAATCTGCCTAGTAACATGCATCTACAAATGGAATTTGACAAAAGTGATCCGGTGTCACTTTAGTGATTAAGTTTTAAGACGACTCTGGTTTCTGCATTAAAAAAGGAGTTCATTTGCAGGAATGATGGAGACATTAGTAGTGTTCAGCAACATTTAAAATTCTCCTTTTATGAGCTTGTGGAAATAGTAATACTTCCTTGCCTATTTGAACTTAAGCATAACTACGTGATCTGACTCATTCAACAAAGTGGCAGAACAAATGATGTCACTTCCACATAGAAACACTTAAGAGCCAATATGTTTTTCTACCACAGCAAATCCTGCAGCCTTGTATTGCAGTGAGAGCATAATACAATGGTGGAGAATTCAACAACCTGAGTGCTTGAAGAATTATGATAGCAGAAGTCCTGCCAAAGTGAACAGAACATGTTATATAAGGATACATTTTGTTTTTTTACTACACCATACCTAGGTTACTTTTACTAAAATGAGAAATAACAGCCGAAAATTGACAGAAAGAAAAATACTAAGATAAAGACTAGGTGTATAAAATTGAGAAACATCTATACTAACATCTAAAACCCCAAGAACAAAAAGAGATGTCAGGATAGAGTAGACTTAAGCCTTAGATTTACTGAAAGGAAAAAAAAAAAAGCCAATCTAAAACTCTACACTCAAAACCTTTCTCTCAAAGAATAAAGACCTAAAATGTGCCATTACCAAAATGCTGACGTAGGAGACAGCAGCCTCCATCCTCCTAAAAAAGACCAAACTTGGACAGCGATCAGTAACAAAAACAGCTCCAGAAAAATCTGGAGTACCCTAAGAAATTTGACCAAGCCAATATACTGTCATTTTGGAGGCATCATTACATCCTCCAAACCAGCATCACTCAGTGTCAAGGGTGCCAGGAGAGTTCCTCTAACCAGGAGGGTAAGAACAGGCTGAATAACCAGTGTCCCTAGCCTTTGGGGGCACCATATGAAAATCCTGCTTCAGGTTCACTTCCCGCAGACCTGCAAAGCTGAGCCAGTCTTATAGAGATGGCTAGGCAAAAGAAAGAAGAGCAAAGGACCAATAGCAACCACATGGCAGGAGCAATCACAGTTCACAGTGACCCTCTCTGCAGGCAGATGCAGCAGATTTTTCACCTGAAAGAATTAATAATAAGCACAGATGATGGTTTTCCAGTAGTCAAGTATGGATGTGAGAGTTGGACCATAAAGAAGGCTGAGCCCTGAAGAGTTGATGCTTTTGATCTGTGGTGCTTGAGATGACTCTTGAGAGTTCTTTGGATGGCAAGGAGATCAAACCAGTCAATCCTAAAAGAAATCAACCCTGAATATTTATTGAAAGGACTGATACTGGAGCTGAAGCTCCAATACTTCAGCCACCTGATGCAAAGAGCTGACTCATTGGGAAAGACCCTGATGCTGGGAAAGACTGAAGGAAAAGGAGAAGGACAGCACAGGATGAGATGGTTAGATAGCATCACCAGCTCAATGGACATGAGTTTGAGTAATGAGCCATTGTTGGTCTTGGCCTTTGCTGCCTTCCTAGGCCTTCCCACAACATGAGCATCTGCAACCATCATCTCCCCCACAGAGGCACCTGCAACAGGCCCCCAAAGCCAAGTGTGTGTGCACCATTGGCTCTGGCCACCACCACTGCTGGTCATGATCCCTAGGCTTTGAAACCGGAGGCACTGCTGAGGACACCAACTAGCATTCCAGTGACAGCAGACTCCCTGCAACACTTGCCAAACACCACACAATCCTGTGGACGTAAGCAGGCTGAGCCAAACAGCCTCATGTTCTCCCAGACCCAGTGCCACCTTATGCCTCTGCACTTGGCACCCTGCAATAAATACATTCCAGTGTGCCCCTACCCAGAGGTGAAAGGCTTTCTCTACTGAAATCAGGACTTAGTGTCTGGCAGAGGTGACAGCTTTTTTAAATGTGCAGACATCTACAAGAGAATAAGACCTCAAGAAGAATCGGGGAAACAAAATCCCACCAAAGGAATACAGTAAACCTCCTGTAACCAGTTCAAATTAATAATGGAGATCCAAGAATTGCCTGACAAAGAATTCAAAATAATACTTCAAAAGATGCTCAGAGAGTTACAAGAGAATTCAAATATATTTTGACACCAGGAAAATAATACAAATAAAATAAGAGCAATAAAGACATATAAAATTTAAAAAAAAAACTAACCAGATATTTTGAAGCTGAATAATAAATGAATGGGCTTCCCAGGTGGTGCTAGTGGTAAAGAACCCATCTGCCAGTGCAGGAGATGTAAGAGACTCGCGTTCGATCCCCGGGTCTGGAAGATCCCCTGGAGGAGTACATAGCAACCCACTCCAGTATTCTTGCTTGGTGAATCTCATGGACAGAGGACCCTGGTGGGCTACAGTCCATGGAGTCACAAAGAGTCACATGAAGGAGGCAATTTAGCATGAACATACGACAATGAGTAAATTGAAGAATTCAGTACAAAGATTCAACAACAAACTTGACCAAGGAAAAGAAAAAAATAAAAGAATAAGTTAGAAGAAAGATCAGTTGAAAGTATCCAATTAGAGGAACAAAAAGAGAATGAAAGGAATATAGAAAGCAATGGGGACTGTGTACACGGTAAAGAGAAACAATGTATTGAATGGAGTCACAGGAGAAGTGAAGGAGAAAAGAAATAATGGCTGAGGACTTCCCTGGTGGTGAAGTGGATAAGAATACACCTGCCAATGCAGGGGACATGAGTTCAATCCCTGGTCCAGGAAGATTCCACATGCCGCAGAGCAACTAAGCCGGTGTGTCACAACTACTGAAACCTGTGCACCTAGAGCCTGTGGTCTGCACCAAGAGAAGCCACCGCAGTGAGAAGTCTGTGCACTGCAGCGAGGAGTAGCCCCTGCTTACCACAACTAGAGAAAGCCCGCATGCAGCAAGGAGACCTAGCAAAGAAAGAAAGACAGGCTGAGAATTTCCCAAACGGGGGGAAATCTGGACATCTAAGTTCTAAGCTAATAAATAACCCCAAAACTTCAATCCAAAACAACCATCTCCAAGACGCACAGAGTAAAGTGTCTGAATGCAAAGACAAAGAGAGAATTCAAAAAGTCTAAGGAGAAGAAAAAAATTCTGTCACCCAGGAAGACTCCCCTAAGCAGATCAGCGGATTTGTCCAAAGAAACCTTGCAGACCAAGACAGAAGGATTGATGACATACTCCACTCTCACTCAGAGGGAAGCAGCTCCCAGGGAGGGGCAGGAAAGGGCATGAGAGAAAGAGCTCCCTAGGAGTCACGGCAGCTCCTGGGAGGGGAAAGGACCTTCCCAGGCCCCCAGCACGACAGGAAATGAGTCACAGGGACCAGGGCAGGGACTTAGGAGCTTATACACTGAGGCTATGCATCAACTGATCTCTACAGACAAGAGGTCCTCTCTCCTGGATGCGGGCTTCTCTGCTCCATAATGGACACCCAGTGGGAACAGGCGAGGCCAGCAGGCAGAGCCTCTCACAGAGCCCAGTGCTGGGCAGACACATCAACAAGCAGAGGAGAGCCCAGGGGATAGGCGAGAGGAGCCAGAGAGAGGCAGGCAGGTGCACGATTGTCTCTGATCCAGTTACAAGGAGCGGCCATGACACCCAGCACTGTGAGACCCTGTGTGCTTCACAGACCAACGGACTCAGTCCCTGCTCAGCGGCCCCGTTCCTCTCACAGAGACAGGATCCATCCCCCTTACACACACATACACACACACACACACACACACACACACAGCCTCACACACACACATACATATTCTCACACAAATACACACACCCTCACACGCTACTCAAACACTCCTCACACACCCTCACTCACCCTCACATACTCCTCACACACCCTCATACACCACTCAGACATTCCTCACATAGTCCCCACATNTCCACAGCCCTGTCACTTTCCCCACCAGATGGGCCCCTCATCCTGGTCAGCAGACATAGCTTCTCTGTCCTCTCATGCCCGCCCTTCCTATTTGAGACTCAGGTAAATGAAAAGGGAGAAAATTCAATTGAACACATTTTTTTTTCTCTCTCTCTATTTAAATGTGCTGATATTTTATTTTACAATAGTCACTTTCTTGTTCTGTGTTCCTCTCACTTTCAAGCCCACATCTGTACATAAACTCCATCTCCTTCTGGATGCTTGACACAGTAGTGATAATAACTGATTAGAAATGTCAGAACCAGAATATAAGCTCAGGGGCTGGAGTAGGACCAGGATCTGCTCAGTCACTTAGAGTTGATGCTCTACTCCCCCTGGGGCCCAGACTCATCATTCCTTACCCAGTTATGGACTCCACAGCATCACCAGAATCCATGAGGTAGACATCTAGAACACAGGACATGCTTCCTGGGGTCCACTGGTCCCTCCCACAGGATGACACAGGGATGTGTTTAGTGAACCAGGTACATACAGTCCTATCTCGGGATTGAGATCTCACAGATAAGACACTGT